TAGTTTGATGTTTACATATTCACTGACCTTATTCACTTGGGTGGGCATCATGCCACTTTAATCAAATCGAGCCCTACAATATTTTTTACTTTGAGCGCTCTTTAGATGCAAACTAATTTTTTTTCTGTACTATGCATGCACTGTTACACATGGTAAAGATGCACTGTTACACATGGTAGAGATGCACTGTTACACATGGTAGAGATGCACTGTTACACATGGTAGAGATGCACTGTTACACATGGTAAAGATGCACTGTTACACATGGTAGAGATGCACTGTTACACATGGTAGAGATGCACTGTTACACATGGTAGAGATGCACTGTTACACATGGTAAAGGTACACTTTTACAATTATAGTATGTCCCATTAAAAATGGAAATGAACTTTTGCCTGGTATGAATTAACAAAACGACGTTGAATAAAAAATAAAACTTTTTTGTAAACTAAAAAAAAGTCACCCTCGAGATTTTTCAGGATTTTACTCTAAAGTGTCTATTTTTCTTGTGAAAGCAAATATTGATTTCTCTATGGTAAATCTCTGTTGTTTATTTTTCGTAGCCATTGCCGAAGTACTCTTCATTTGAAGATGAACGGGAGAAAGCACGTGTCATGTTTCTAAAATATACATGATGTTCTCGGGGTCGTTTCATGATTATTTTACAAAACTGGATCTACAAGATGTAACAGTTTAGTTGCAATGCATGATGGAAAGCTTTAAAAAATGAAAAATAAGCAACAAGAACACCGAGTCACATGGAATAGATCTAGAAATTGCACTTACTTTTAAGCTGAATAGAATCCTTTTGAACTTTATAAACGTCACGACAAATTCGCATTCTGAAGATTCTTCATTGCCAGTTTCTATCCAGTTCCGTAGATCTATGCAAAAATCCTGAATGACATGACTCCTACTGGCATGCGAGCAGTTCCCGTACAGAAGCAGTACCCGTATTTTTCGTTTAAACGCTTGATTTTTACTTTCATTCTTCAAATCAATATCAAATCAAGCAGATGCATTAACGAGACAAAATCTAAGTGTCAGTTCATATAAAAAGTTTTCATTTAAATCTCTTTCACCTGTGCGTTGTCAAAACGTGACCTTGTTAACTTTGGGGGATTCCGTTTAAGCGCGCATGCGCAACAATACTTACATGTGAGGCCTATTACAGGGTTTTCCGCTTATACCGCCTGCATACAGATAAGTAGGCAATGCGACATAAACCTGATTAATTATCAGAATTTTGACCTATATTACTATATTAAATAATTTTATGGCTTTAATGAGTAAAATATCACGCATACAAGCACGTCATTGCATGTGTTTTCGTTGGGGTACCGGTACCGGGTAATACATGGTCTTCGTTTAATCTACGCTCTTTATCCTGAATTGTATTTACCTTCCTCGGGGAAAATGATCTCTTCAACAATCATAAATGAAAAATGGGTCTGATATAACAACATTGTATAAGTATAATGGGTTTTATTTTATGTACGGGAACTACTTCTCTTCATACAAAATAATAGATAATTTCGGTACCCCATATGAGGCCTCATAGCTAAGGGTTATTCTATGTTTAGAACATAATGGAATTTCCATAATTTGTGTGAGGAGCTGAATTTTGATGCATAACATTCAATTTTTTGATGAGTGAGCGTAATAAAATATAATTTTTAAGTAACTATGATTTTTGTACGGGAACTGCTCGCATGCCAGTACAGTTTTGATGATCCAGATTTTTTAAACTGATAATCCGTCTCATTATTAATATATTGTTCAATTTGTGGAGTTATCTGGGTTAGTAAATGAAATATGTAAATGAAACACATCATAATTCAGTATGTTCCAAATCCATAATTCAAGAACGGCCCATCAATTTTAGTTGTCAACATCACAATGCTTATGGATTCCTGACGAAAAAAAACAACAATTTACGAAATATATGACGTAACAAAAATGCCTCGCGCTTTTTATGGATGATTCCAGTTGCGGCATTGACAGAGGGCGGTTAGGCATATGTAACCTCAAACAGATAATTTTAATCGTTGAGATGAATTTGTCTTGATGCCATTTACAATAATTTTTGTATACCCAGATTTTGCAACTTAACTGTAAAAATTACTCCTTCAATTCATATATTAATAATATGAAACTTTTGATAACATTTAAAAATGATTTTAAACACACTTTATGACACGAATCTACAACAGTACAATACTTCTTCCATTAATTACATATAACATTCGTTTTGATTTTATGTTTTTAAACTAGATTCTATTTTATATATTTCTCAGAAATAATTTCCCTACATATTATCTCGTTATTCAATACTTCTGTAAATCCTACTCATTTAGCTACAAAATATACAATACGCGGTATTTTTTCTCCCGCGAAAAATATGCTAGATCTATTGATTTTTCACTGAATATTTTCAAAATTTAGGAAGCTAAAATTATTGAGAACGTCACTCAGTGTTCCTCTTTGACTCGATCTACCCTTCAAAGCAAAATAATTATATGTAACACTTTGAGTCTACAAAAAACACTTAATGTCGCTTATTGAACACTCCAATTCAAACTTACTCTTAATAATATCAAACCACTGCCGGTATTTCTGGACATTTTGTTGAATTGTGAGACGGAAATTGAAATCTGTATTTACGAGCTAAAAGTGTATAGGCCTACGTTTGATTGCTTAAACTAAAAAGCATGATATTATGTTCTTATAATTTACATTTTCCTCGAACGCCAGTCTGTGTTCTCTCGTTAGCGAGGGAGTTAGTTAAAGTAGACACTGTGGTAACAAGCAAACCAATTCTGAACGTGTAGTGAATCAGTTTTCCTTTCTTTATATTTTTGTCAGATTTGCATGATAATGTAGTATTTGTTGGCGATTTCTTGTGAAAGTTGAAACCTACGGAAAGTTTTAGCGCGCGAACATCGCACCCGAAATGAGAAGGGTAACATATTTTTGTATCCCATCGAACCTGGTCAATTAATTTATTTTTGAATAGATGTGATACACACTTATGGACAGAATTCAGACAACTACAGAATTATGTAAATTAAACATAAATTAGCGAAGAACCATTTATATATTATTCTAGCTAGTATTCCCGCTCCGCTTCAACGCGTTGTGGTATTCAAGATACGCGCTTGATTGAAAAGCTATCTAATCAAATCACTTCATTGTTCTTTTTATCTTAAAAAATATAAAATACGACAGTATATCATGGTTATTAATTAAATCTTTGTGTGTTAGAAAGCTTACTGATGTTTTCACTTCAAATGATTTTTATTATTTTAAATAATGGTTTGCTAGTAAAATTGCCTTTTTTACACCAACTTTGTTGTAATTTTTCATTTTAATGATAAAATTTAACTATTGATCAGTAAGTAAATAAGAATAATATTTTTTTATAATTACCGAGTACATTTCACGCTAATTGTGAGACGAACCCTAAATGACGTCTATATGGGCGCCGCCATTTTGAAATGGACGTCACGTCAGGTTACAACGTAAGTCAACGGGAAAAAATATAATTTTAACATTTTGACCATATTAATGACTTTATGAAAAAAATGAAAAACATGCCTAGAGATATTGACGTCAGGGTAAACATGACATTAATTTAATTGATTTTACTATTATATTAGATAAAAAATGGACTGTTCAAATTTGATGGGACAGACTATAGTACATATTTATATATAGCAATTTTAAAATACATCCCGTTTCATCACCTCAAATGTTTAAGATGTTGGTTAGTTTATATATAATAAAATAAAACGTGTAAGTGCATGTATATTTACATTTTATGATGAAAATGTTTGCTTTACATTGTTGACAAGTATTATTACCTCAAAAATTATTTATGATCTTTTATTACAATATGTATTTTAAATTGTCTATTGACATGTGGAAAAAAAATTTGTTTATCTTCTTGTGTTTGATTTTCATATTATATAGAACATGCGTTTTGACGATTGAAATTACGCGTATATGTAGACATTGGACTCTTCCTTGATCATGAAGTTAGATAACTACCAAACAAAGTTATTAACAATGTTTCCGATGAAATGCTCTGCATTAATTTCCTCAAATGACTAGTTATTTATGTTATTAAACATACGTATAATGTTACATTGACCTCGTCCATTCAATGACGACCTACTTTATTATAATCAGTCAAACAATATTATTTGAATAAGGACGGAAGGCATTACCTTTTACTTATACGACACTTTATACTTAACTTTTTTGCTTAATGTGTATGATGGAGTTTATGAGAAATCAAACTCAAAAATTTGAGATCAGAAGAACTATTAAAGTTATTGTAACTGAAATAGACAGAAGCATTTGGAACCATTTTCGTAATAAGTTTTAAAATGTATTTAAAAGTAAACTATAGTGAACAAAGAAAACATTACACTGCAAATGGCACTAACAATCGATGTAAATTACAAACAAGAGTACAAATATGCAAAAGCCCTGGCTGCGTTAGTCACACAGTAGAAATATGGTATTAATACTGCAAAAGCTGTCATACGTAGCACATAACATGTAGATCATTAATTGAATCTTCGTTCTTTTACTTTTCTTAAAATCAATTTACATTTTTGGAGCTTTTTAAACATGTTAGCAAATCAGGAGGCAAACAGCTATAAAATTAATGTTAAATTTATTGTTGTCTATTATTTACCATTTGGATTCTAAACTTTAAAGAGTAAATCTCTTCTTCCTGTTTGTCGCCATTTCAATTACAGCTATGATAGTAAATACATGTTTAACAAAGTTACAACCGGATTGCAAACTCAGACACTCAACATTAAGCTAAATAAGATATCCTCAAAAAATTTCTTTCTATCTAGATTTCAGTGAAATATTCTGAGAGGCCATTGTATATTTACAATTATTTTTGTTGATGTGTTTTCGGTTTTTGTTTTTTTTTTTGCCGAAAAATAAACATAATATTTATATCTTATGAAATACACTACCTTTCACACATTGCCCCTTATAATACTTCTTTTCGCTGTCTACATAACTGTAGTTGTTAGCTGCATAACAAACACATGTATTAACGTTGACATCACACACCTGACCTATCCCTGTACAGTCAATATTTCTTGTACAAAACTCGCCATATTCAGCTGATATACTTAAATAGACTATGTGTGCAAATACCTGAAAATATATGTAATAATTCTGAACAAATGTAGTAAAAA